CTGGGACTGTCCCTTGTAAATGAGGTGTTCTGAACTCAGAACACTTTGGGTACCCTTGGGGAGTAGGCAGCAGGGCCAATTGGCCCCCAGGATTCTGTCTGCCCAAGTCTCCTGTCCTATGCTACCTTCTGTGCCCTCCCTGCAGCTTGCCCCTGTATGACCCCTCCCTTGGCTAGAGAAGCTCATTTTGGTTACTGGTATCTCTGCCCTCAGCATCATCAGCTGGTTCGTGCGGTCCTTCAAGTACGTGTATGGCCTTCGCTTTGAGGTCAGAGGCCAGAAGAAACTGGAGGTGGATGGTCCCTGTGTCATCATTTCTAATCACCAGAGTATCCTAGACATGATGGGTAGGCTGCCACCAAGGCTTGGCCACAGAGAGGGTGGCCTTTTTCATCCTAGACCCTGGGTGGGCTGGTGCCTCTAGCCACAGGCTTCCCTCAAGCTAGGCGGTAAGAGCAGCAGGCTGTGCCAGACTTGAGGCACAGGACTGCATCAGAGGCAGGGACCTTGACAGGTAGGCCGCCAGCCCCTCCTCCCTGGGGAGTGCCAAACTGGGCTCTGAGGCTGTTCTCTCTTCTTCCCCATACCCCGCCCCCTTTGTGTCTCTTCCTGTCTCTTTTCCATTCTTCTCTCTGTCTCTGTATCTCTCTCTGTCTCCCCCTTTCTCTCTTTCTTTCCATCCCTGTCTCTGTGTCTCTCAATTTCCATCTCTGCCTTTCCACCTCTGGCTTCTTTTCTCTCCTCTTTCTGTATCCATCCCTGGGTCTCCACTTCCTCTGTCTCCCCTGCCTGCTTCTCTATCTGTTTCTCTATCTCTCCTATGTCTCTCATCCTCTCTTACTGTTTCCACACTTCTGTCTCCATCTATTGTCTCTCTTCTGTCTCTGTCTCTCACTGTTTCTCTCTCCCTCTTTTCCTCTCTCTCCCATCCACATAGGTCTCATGGAGATACTCCCTAAGCGCTGTGTGCAGATCGCCAAGCGTGAGCTGTTGTTCACGGGGCCTGTGGGCCTCATCATGTACCTCGGGGGTGTCTACTTCATCAACCGCCAGCGCGCCAGAACTGCCATGACCCTGATGGCCGACCTGGGTGACCTCATGGTCAAGGAAAATGTAAGTGTAGGCATAGCAAGGCAGGCTTCAG